TGGGGGGGGGTGGAATATTTACTATTAGGCAATACTAGGCACTAGGTCGCCTAGGGCCCCACATTTCCTAAATCCGCCCCTGGTTATATGGGCCTGTGTTCACTTATTTCATCATATTAGATCTTTTTTTTTTGATTGACAGCAAAAACAGGTGAAAAGATTAAAAACCGAAATATTAAACAGAAAAATAAACACAGTATAAAATGAGGATAATTCTGCAGGAATCATCAGATATCAAAATAACAAGAATAATGACGTCCTTACATTTTAAATCATTTTAAATCTTTTTAAATCATTTTAAATCTTACCTGTCTTTGTATTTAGTGACATTTTCTCTGGATATTTTTTTTTTTTATCTACGGCATTTTTCTTCATTATGTTGTGATAATGATCATAAAGCGACATTAAATACAATCAGAATATAAAATTAATCAGGTTTTACAGTAATTCATGAAATCTGTTTTATTCCTGCTGTTTTTTATGAATGTCTAAAGGATTTAGTTTTTTTTTTTTTTTTTTTCTCGCTTGGGGGGGGGGGTGATCTGGTGATTAGGACATAGAGCCTTGAATCCAGAGGTTCTGAGTTGGAAACCCACTCCCACAGACCGTCACTCTGGGTCCCCTAACCCCACACTAGGTTAGGGGTTAAATGCAGAGAGGGAATTTCTCCATTGTTAGATCAATAAAGTTCAATAATAATAATAATTATTATTATTATTACTAATTAGAATCTAAATTTCTTGTCTTAGCATCATGTTTTCCAGACTTCTGTTCATTTGTAAGCAGGATGATGGTTTTCCTTCCTGTGGTTGAGGTTTGAAGCTTCTTTAAAATGTTTTTTGTTTTTTTACTCAGACTTGTTATTTCACGCGTCGTAAGCGAAGCAGTGATGTAATCGGATGGGAACGCCCCCCCCCCCCACCGGTGAAGCTATAAATACACCCATGAAGGTCATTCATGCGTCCACTTCTTCCTGCAGCTCTTTATGAATGAAACTCTTCCTCTGGTGAGTCGTGGATTAATCTAATCTTCTCTAATTCAGTGGAAACAAACAGTCTAACTTTATCACTGTGGGGGGGGGCACTAATACTTTCACCACTAATGTGGTGGAAGGCTATAAGCCATCATGATGCATTCTCAGACAAATCATTTGCTTTTACATTTATTGATATAGATATTAAAATATAATATAAAGAAGATGTATAAATTATATGGTTTGATTTCAAACTATAATATGTTGGGTTTTTTTTGTTGTTTTTACGGCACTAGTAGCTCATTTTTTTCAACAGCAGGCTGACAGGAAAGGGGGGGATGAGAGACATGCGGCAAACTATCAGAGGTTGGATTCGAACCCGGGTCGGCTGCGTCGAGGACTAGGGCCTCCGTACCTGGGTCATTCACATTAACCACTGCGCAGCCTGAATACCCTTAAAATGTTTTTAATTAAATTATTATTATAGGTTGTGTTTGTAGGAGAGTTTCTCTGTTTACAGGATAACTTTAAAAGTTATGGACGGATTTTAATGACATTTTGTTCCATAGATTCAATGTTTGTGACGATCCTACAGAAGAGGATTAGGACCACTAAAAAATGTTAAAAATTAATGAATTTTACTTCAGTTTAATATGGGAAAAAGGTCA